GGTGTTGGTGGGCAGTGATTTGCTGATTGGGCTGGACGAGAGTGCGTAAGCTTGCATGTTCAGCGGAGAGTGGGAGTCGGATGGTGGTTTGTTTGCCGTTGGTGACTTCTTGATTAGCGACTGTGTAGGTGCGTGGAAGGGTGTTAGGCGTTTTGGGGTTCAGGACGTGAGTGGCGCGCATTGGGCGGGAGAAGTGGAACGGCTTCGCTCTCCAGCCGCTTTGCCGTTAGGGTTGCGAGGCAGGCCTTCGCAGCTGGACAGTGTGGCTGTGTTCCGGTTCGCTGGTGTGTGGAAGAGGTGTTTGGATGCGTGGAAATGAGAAGCTGTGTTTGTAGCGCTGGATTGGGGCGTAGATTTTGGAGGAGAGGTGGCCGGCCTGTGGTGCCGTGCGGGTGTCAGCCTTGCCAGTTGGATCGCAGTTTCAACGCGTGTTGGGGCTGCGGGAGGGAGGATCGGGCTGCTGACAAGTGTTGAAGTTTGTGGCAATCAGGATACGTTCGGGAGCTGGTATTGGTGGGCAGTGGTTTGCCGGCTCGGCTGGACGGAAGGGCTTGTGCATGCGTTTTCAGTGAAGAGTGGGAGTCGGAGGGTGGTTTGTTTGCCGTTAGTGATTTGTTGATTTGCGGCTGTATAGGTGCGTGGCAGGGTGTTAGGCGTTTTGGGTTTTAGCTGGTGAGTGGCGGGCTTTGGGCGAGAGAAGTGGAATAGCGGAGCGTTCCAGCCGCTTTGCCGTTTGGGTCTTGAGGCAGGCCTTCGGAGCTGCGCAGTGTGTTTGTGTTGTGGTTCGTTTTTGTGTGGAGGGGGGTGTTTGGGTGCGTGCAAATGAGAAGCTGTGTTTGTAGCCCAGGAGTGGGCATCGGGTCATACCCGCACGTAGGCTCCGATGGAGGAGCGATGCGCGATGAGGCACTGACAAATAGGTTTTGAAGGAGAGGTGGCCGATCTGTGGTGCCTTGCGGGTGTCAGCGTTGCCAGCTGGATCCCAGCTTCAACGCGTCTTGGGGCTGCGGGACAGAGCATAGGGCTACTGAGAAGGGTTTGAATTTTGTGACTATCAGGACACGTGCTGGAGGTGGCGTTGGTGGGCAGTGATTGGCGAGTGTGAATCGGAGGGTGGTTTGTTTGCCGTTGGTGACTTGTTGATTTGCGGCTGTGTAAATGCGCCGAAGGGTGTTAGGCGTTTTGGGTTTTAGGATGTGAGTGGCTCGCATTGGGCGAGAGAAGTGGAATGGCTTCGCTTTTTAGGCTCGTTGCCTTCAGGGGTGGGAGGCAGGCCTTCGAAGCTTCGCAGTGTGGTTGTGTTGTGATTCGTTGGTTTGTGGGAGGGGGTGTTTGGGTGCGCGTAAATGAGAAGCTGTGTTTGTAGCGCAGGAGCGGGCATTGGGTCATGGGTTTTGGAGTAGGGGCGGCTGGTCTGTGGAACTTTGCGGTTGTCAGCGTTGTCAGTTGGATCGCAGTTGCAGTGGGCGTTGGTGCTACAGCAAGCAAGCCGGGTTGTTGAGAAGAATTCGGAATTTGTAACTCTCAGGATACGTGCTGGAGCTGATGTTGGCAGCCAGTGAGCCGCTGCGTCGGCTGGACGGAAGGGCAAGAGGGCGTAGGCATGCATTTTCAGCGGCGACTGGGAGTCGGAGGGTGGTTTGTTTGCCGTTGGTGACTTGTTGATTTGCGACTGTGTAGGTGCACGGAAGGGAGTTAGGCGTTTTGGGTTTTAGGATGTGATTGGTGCGCATTGGGCGGGAGAAGTGGAATGGCTTCGCTTTCCAGCCGCTTTGCCGTTTGGGTCTTGAGGCAGGCCTTCGCAGCTGCACATTGTGGCTGTGTTGTACTTTGTTGCTGTGTGGGGAGGGGCGCTGGGATTCGTGCAAGTGAGAAGCTGTGTTTGTAGCGCTGGAGTGGGCAATGGGCATAGGTTTTGGAGAGAAGGCAGCCGATGTGTGGTGCCTTGCGGGTCTCAGCGCTGCCAGCCGGATCGTAGTTTGAGCGCGTGTTGGTGCTGCAGGTAGCAGAGCCGCGCTGTTGAGAAGTGTTCGGAATTTGTTACTATAAGGATACGTGCGAGAGCTCGTGTTGGTGGGCAGTGATTTGATGGTTCGGCTGAAGGGAATGGCGTAGGCATGTTAAGCGGCGAGTGGTAGTTGGAGGTTGGTTTGTTTGCCGTTATTGACTTGGTGATTTGCGGCTGTGTAAATGCGTGGAAGGTTTTAGGCGCTTTGGGGTTTAGTTTGTGAGTGGCGGGCGTTGGGCGAGAGAAGTGGAATGGCTTCGCCTCCCAGCCGCGTTGCCATTTGGTTTGTGAGGCAGGCCTTCGCAGCTGCGCAGTGTGGTTGTGTCGCGGTTCGTTGGTTTGTGAAAGAGGACGCTCGGGTGTGTGCTAATGAGAAGCTGTGTTTGTAGCACAGGAGTGGGATTTGTAGTAAAGGTTGCCGGTCTGTGGTGCCTTGCGGGTGTCAGCGTTGTCAATTGGATCTCATTTACAGTGCATGTTGGTCCTGCAGGAAGCAGGGCCGGGCTTTTGAGGAGGGTTCGGAATTTGTGACTATCAGGATACGTGCTGGAGCTGGTGTTGGTGGGCAGTGATTTGCTGGTTCGGCTGGATGGAAAGGCTTGGGCATGCATATTCAGCGGCGAGTGCGAGTCAGAGGGTGGTTTGTGTGCCGTTGGTGACTTGTTGATTTGCGGATGTGTAGGTGCGTGGAAGGCTGTAGGTATTTTGGGTTTCAGGAGGTGAGTGGCGCGCATTGGGCGAGAGAAGTGGAATCACTTCGCTTTCCAGCCGCTTTGCCGTTTGGGTCGTGAGGCAGGCCTGTGCAGCTGTGCTGTGTGGTTGTGTTGTGGTTCGTTGGTGTGTGGAGGAGGTGTGTGGATGCGTGGAAATGAGAAGCTGTGTTTGTAGCGCTGGAGTGGACAATGGGCATAGGTTTTGGAGGGGAGGCTGCCAATATGTGGCGCATTGCGTGTGTGGGCATTGTCAGTTGAATCGCTGTTGCTGCATCAAGCAGGGCCGGCCTGGCGAGAAGGGTTCGGAATTTGTGACTCTGAGGATATGAGCTGCATATCGTGTTGGCAGGCAGTGAGCCGCTGGTCCGGCTGGACGGAAGGACTTTGACATGCGTTTTCAGCGGAGAGTGGAAGTCGGAGGGTGGATTGCTTGCCATTGGTGACTTGTTGATTTGCGGCTGTGTAGGTGCGCGGAAGGGTGTGAAGCGTTTTGCGTTTTAGGAGGTGAGTTGCCGGCATTGGGCGAGAGAAGTGGAACGGCTCTGCTTTCCAGCCGTTTTGCCGTTTGGGTTGTTCGGCTGGCCTTTGAAGCTGCGCAGTGTGGTTGTGTTGTGGTTTGTTGGTGTGTGGAAGGGGGTGTTTGGATGCGTGGAAATAAGCAGCTGTGTTTGTAGCGCAGGAATGGGGCATAGGTTTTGGAGGGGAAGCAGCCGGTCTGTGGAGCCTTGCGGGTGTGAGCGTTGTCAGTTGGATCGCAGTTGCAGTGCGTGTTGGTGCTGCAGCAAGCAGGGCTGGACTGTTAACAAGGGTTCGGCATTTTTGGCAATCAGGATACGTGCTGGAGCTGGTGTTGGCAGCCAGTGAGCCGCGGCGTCGGCTGGACGGAAGGGCTTGGGCATGCGTTTTCAGCGAAGAGTGGGAGTCGGAGGGTGGCTTGTTTGCCGTTGGTGATTTGTTGATTTGCGGCTGTGTAGGTGCGTGGAAGGGTGTTAGGCGTTTTTGTTTTTAGGAGGTGAGTGGCGTGCATTGGGCGAGAGAAGTGGAATGGCGGAACGTTCCAGCCGCTTTGCCGTTTGTGGGCCCAAGGCAGGCGTTTGTAGGTGCGCAGTGTGGTTGTGTTGTGGTTTGTTGGTGTGTGAAATCGGGTGTTTGGATGCGTGCAAATTAGAAGCTGTGTTTGTAGCGCAGGTGTGGGGCTTAGGTTTTGGAGGGAAGGCTGTCGGTGTGTGGAGCCTTTTGGGTGTGAGCGTTGTCAGTTGGATCGTAGTTACAGTGCGTGTTGGTGCTGCAGCGCGCCGGGCAGGGCTGTTGAGAAGGGTTCGGAATTTGTGACTATAAGGATATGGGCTGCAGCTGGTGTTGGTGGGCAGTGATTTGGTGGGTCGGCTGGACGGAAGGGCTTGGGCATGTTCAGAGGCGAGTGGGAGTCGGAGGGTGGTTTGTTTGCCGTTGGTGACTTCTTGATTTGCGGCTGTGTAGGCGCGTTGAAGGGTGCTAGGCGTTTTGGGTTTTAGCTAGTGAGTCGCACGTATAGGGTGAGAGAAGTGGAATGACGGAGCTTTCCAGCCGCTTTGCCGTTTGGGCCGTGAGGTAGTTCCCTCGCAGCTGCACAGTGTGGTTGTGTTGTGGTTCGCTGGTATGTTGGGGGGGCGTTTTGATGCATGCAAATGAGAAGCTGTGATTGTAGCGCAGGAGTGGGGCATAGGTTTTGGAGGAGAGGCGGCCGGTCTGTGGATCCTGGGGGGTGTGAGCATTGTCAGTTGGATCGCAGTTGCAGTGCGTGTTGGTGCTGCAGGAAGCAGGGCCGGGCTGTTGAGAAGGGTTCGGAATTTGTGACAATGAGGCTACGTGATGGAGCTGGTGTTGGTGGGCAGTGATTTGGTGGTTCGGCTGGACGGAAGGGCTTGGGCATGCATATTCAGCGGCGAGTGGGAGTCGGAGGGTGGTTTGTGTGCCGTTGGTGACTTGTTGATTTGCGGCTGTGTAGGTGCGTGGAAGGTGTTAGCCGTTTTGTGTATAGGATGTGAGTGGCGCGCATTGGGCGAGAGAAGTGGAATGGCTTTGATTTCCAGCTGCTTTGCCGTTTCGGGTCTTGAGGCAGGCCTTCGGAGCTGCGCAACGTGGTTATGTTGTGGTTCGCTGGTGTGTGGAAGGGGCTGTTTGGATACGTGCAAATGAGAAGCTGTGTTTGTAGCGCAGGAGTGGGGCATAGCTTTTGGAGGAGAGGCGGCCGGTCTGAGATTCCGTGCGCTGTCAGCCTTGTTAGTCGGATCGCAGTTGCAGTGCGTGTCGTTGCTTCGGCAAGCAGGGCCGGGCTGTTGAGAAGGCTTTGGAGTTTCTGGTTATCAGGATACGTGCTGGAGCTGATGTGGGTGGGCAGTGATTTGCTGGTTCGGCTGGACGGAAAGGCTTGGGCATGCATATTCAGCGGCGAGTGGGAGTCGGGGGGTGGTTTGTGCGCCGTTGGTGACTCGTTGATTTGCTGCTGTGTAGGTGCGTGGAAAGGTCTTAGGTGTTCTGGATTTTAGGAGGTGCGTCTCGCGCATTTAGCGGTGGAAGTGCGATGGAGGCGCTTTCCAGCCGCTTTGCCGTTTGGGTCGTGAGGCAGCCCTTCGGAGCTGCGCAGTGTGGTTGTGTTGTGGCTTGTAGGTATGTGACGGGGCGTGTTCGGATTCGCGCAAATAAGAAGCTGTGTTTGTAGCGCAGGAGTGGGGCTTAGGTTTTGGAGGAGAGGCCGCCGGTTTGTGGAGCCTTGCGGGTGTCGACGTTGTCAGTTGGATCGCATGTACAGTGCGTGCTGTTGCTGCAGGAAGCATTGCCGGATTGTTGAGAAGGGTTCGGAATTTGTGAGTATAAGGATATGGGCTGCAGCTGGTGTTGGTGGGCAGTGATTTGCTGGTTGGGCTGAACAGAAAGGGGTAGGCATGCATGTTCAGCTGAGAGTTAGAGTCGGAGGGTGGTTTGTTTGTCGTTGGTTACTTACTGATTTGCGGCTGCGTAGGTGGGCGAAGGGGTGTTAGGCGTTTTGGGTTTTAGCTAGTAGGTCGCTCGTATTGGGCGAGAGAAGTGGAAAGGCTTCGCCTTCCAACCACTTTGCCGTTTGGTGTGGGAGTTAGGCCTTCGCAGCTGCGCAGTGTGGTTGTGTTGTGGTTTGTTGGTGTGTGGAAGGGGGAGTTTGGGTGCGTGCAAACGAGAAGTTGTGTTTCTAGCGCAGGAGTGGGCATCGAGTCATAGGTGTTGGAGGAGAGGCGGCCGGTCTGTGGTGCCTTGCGGGTGTCGACGTTGTCAGTTGGATCACAATGGGAGTGCGTGTTGGTACTACAGGAAGCAGGGCCGGGCTGTTTAGAAGGGTTCGGAATTTGTGACTATCAACATACGTACTGGAGCTGGTGTTGGTGGGCAGTGATTTGCTGGTTCGGCTGGAAGGAAGGGAGTAGGCATGCATATTCAGCGGCGAGTGGGAGTCCGAGGGTGGTTTGTTTGCCGTTGGTGACTTGTTGATTTGCAGCTGTGTAAGTTAGTGGAGGGGTGTTAGGCGCTTTGGGTTTTAGCTAGTGAGTCCCCCGCATTGGGCGAGGGAAGAGGAATGGCTTCGCCTTCCAGCCACTTTGCCGTTTGGATTGGGAGGCGGGCCTTCGCAGCTGCGCCGCATGGTTGTGTTGTGGTTCGCTGGTGTGTGTAGGGGGGCATTTGGATGTGTGCAAGCGAGAAACCGTGTTTTTAGCGCGGGAGTGGGGTATAGGTTTTGGAGCAGAGGCGGCCGTTTTGTGGAGCCTTGCGGGCGTCAGCGTTCTCGGTTGGATCGCATTTACAGTGTGCGCTGTTGCTGCAGCACGCAGGGCCGGGCTGTTGAGAAGGGTTCGGAATTAGTGACTATCAGGATACATGCTGGAGGGTGTTGGTAGGCAGTGACTTGGTGGTTCGACTGGACGGAAGGCTGTAGGCATCCATGTTAAGAGGCGAGTGGGAGACGGAGGGTGGTTTGTTTGCCGTTGGTGACTTGTTGATTTGCAGCTGTGTAGGTGCGTGAAAGGGTATTCGGCGTTTGGGTTTTAGGATGTGAGTGGCGCGCATTGGGCGGGAGAAGTGGAATGGCTTCGCTTTCCAGGCGCTTTGCCGTTTGGGTCGTGAGGCAGGCTTTCGCAGCTACGCAGTGTGGTTATGTTGTCATTCGCTGGTGTGTGAAGGGTGGCGATTGGATGGGTATAAATGTGATCGCCTCCCTTCACACACCTACGAACCACAACACAACCACGCTGCGCAGCTGCGAAGGCCTGTGTATGTAGCGCAGGTGTGGGGTATAGGTTTTGGAGGGGAGGTGGCCGGTCTGTGGTGCCTTTTGGGTGCGAGCGTTGTCAGTTGTATTGCAGTTTGAGCGCGTGTTGGGGCTGCGGCAAGGAGGACCGGGCTGTTGAGAAAGGTTCGGAATTTGTGGCAATCAGGATACGTGCTGGAGCTGGTGTTGGCGGGCAGTGATTTATTTGCTGATTCGGCTAGACTGAAGGGTGTAGAGATGCACGTTCCGCGGCGAGTGGGAGTCGGAGGGTGGTTTGTTTGCCGTTATTGGCTTGCTGCTTTGTGGCTGCGTAGGTGCGTGGAAGGGTGTTAGGCGTTTCCGGTTTAGGATGTGAGCGGCGCACATTGGGCGAGAGAAGTGGAATGGCTTCGCTTTCCAGCTGCTTTGCCGTTTGGGTCTTGAGGCAGGCCTTCGGAGCTGCGCATTGTGGCTGTGCTGTGCTTTGTCGGTGTGTGGGGAGGGGCGCTGGGATGCGTGCAAATGAAATGAGAAGCTGTGTTTGTAGCGCTGGAGTGGGGCATAGATTTTGGAGGAGAGGCGGCCGATGTGTGTTGCCTTGCGGGTCTGAGCACTGCCAGCCGAATCGCAGTTTGAGCGCGTGTTGGTGCTGCAGGTAGCAGGGCCGCGCTGTTGAGAAAGGTTCGGAATTTGTGACTATAAGGATACGTGCGAGAGCTGGTGTTAGTGGGCAGTGGCTTGATGGTTCGGCTGGACGGAAGGGCTTGGGCATGCATTTTCAGTGGCGAGTGGGAGTCGGAGGGTGGTTTGTTTGCTGTTGGTGACTTGTTGATTTGCGGCTATGTAGGTGAGTGAAGGGGTGTTAGGCGTTTTGGGTTTAGGATGTGAGTGGCGCGCATTGGGCGAGAGAAGTGAAATGGCGCAGCTTTCCAGGCGTGTTACTGTTTGGGGCGCTGAGCAGGCGTTTGCACCTGCGCAGTGTGGTTGTGTCGTGCTTTGCTGTTGTGTGGCAGGGGGTGCTTTTATACGTGCAAATGAGAAGCTGTGTTTGTAGCGCAGGTGTGGGGCATAGGTTTTGGAGGAGAGGCGGCCGGTCTGTAGTGCCTTCTGACTGTCAGCCTTGACAGTTGCATCGCAGCTGCAGTGCGTGTTGGTGCTGCAGCAAGCAGGACTGGACTCTTTAGGAGGGTTAGAAATTTGTGACAATCCGAATACGTGCTGGAGCTGGTGTTGGTGGGCAGTGATTTGCTGGTTCGGCTGGACGGAAGGGCTTGGGCATGCATATTCAGCGGCGACTGGGAGTCGGAGGGTGGTTTGTTTGCCGTTGGTGCCTTGTTGATTTGCGGCTGTGTAGCTGCGTGGAAGGGTGTTAGGCGTTTTGGGTTTCAGCTAGTGAGTGGCGCGCATTGGGCGAGAGAAGTAGAATGTCTTTGCTTTCCAGCCGTTTTGCCGTATGGTGTGGAGTCAGGCTTTCGCAGCTGCGCAATGTGGTTGTGTTGTGGTTCGTTGGTTGGTGGATGAGGGTGTTTCGATTCGTGCGAATGAGAAGCTGTGTTTGTAGCGCAGGAGTGGGGCTTAGGTTTTGGAGGAGCTTCGGCCGGTCTATGGTGCCCTGCGCTGTCAGGCTTGTCAGTCGGATCGCAGTTAGAGTGCGTGTTGGTGCTGCAGCAAGCATGGCCGGGCTGTTGAGAAGTGTTCGGAGTTTGTGACAATCAGGATACGTGCTGGATCTGGCGTTTGTGGGCAGTGATTTGCTGGTTCGGCTGGACGGA